ACACCTGGTGATGCATGGCCATGCGCAGGGGTTACTCCTGGCTCTGCAGGAATTAGTCCTGGCAGTACTCAGGGGACCATATGGGATGCTGGGAATCGAACCCAGGTTGGCCACATGCAAGGCAAACGCCTTCCCTGCTGTGTTATTGCTCCAGCCCTAATTTTTGCTTGTTTTTGGTCCACACCCAGGGATGCTCAGGGGTCACTTCTGGCTCTGCGCTCAGGAATAACTCGTGGTGCTTGGGGGACCATATATGGTGCCAGGAATCAAACCCAGGCTGGCCATGTGCAAAACAAACTCCCTTCCTGCTATGCTATTGCTCCAGCCCTCATTCTATTTTATCATTGTGGATGGTAACATTTATGTTGTTTCTGCCTTTTATGTTATATAAATGTTATTAAGCACTGCTATTCTCAAGTAATGTTGCTATGAACACTTAGAGTAGACACTTTTGCGGGGTGGGCATACCCAGAGATGCTCAAGGCATACTCCTGGATATGTATTCAGGGATCACTCCTTGGCAGTGCTTGAGTGAACATATGTGATGCTGGGGTTCAAACCCAAGTCCACCATGTGCAAGGCAAGTGCCCTCCCCGGTATACTAACTCCAACCCCAGAGTAGACTGTCTGTTTTTTTTTGGGGGGGGTCACACCCAGCGATGCCCAGGGGTTCCTCCTGGCTCTGCACTCAGGAGTTACTCCTGTTGGTACTCAGGGGACCCTATGGGATGCTGGGAATTGAACCTGGGTCGGCTGCGTGCAAGGCAAACGCCCTACCCGCTGTGCTGTCTCCCCAGCCCCCCAGAGTAGACTCTTACTTAAATGGATGCATTCATATTTGGTGGGGTTTGGTGGGTGGGGGTCTCCCTAGCAGTGCTGGAGTCTGTACCCTACTTTATCTCTCAGGAGGCGGCTCTGCTGTGCAGGGGATTGAACCAGGGCCACTGTGCATGGAAGGCCTGTCCATGTTCTAGCCCTTTGAGCTCTCCCTGCCCCTCACATTGAGAGGGCAGGAGGGAGGGGTAATTGGTAATATACGCAGCAGTGTTCCTTAAACTGTATGCGGTGTTGTGTTGATTGAACCCACTTGGCTGTGTTGCAGGACAAGTATCTTACCCTCTATACTATTTTCCTGGCAGCCTCACGTTTTTTTGTTTTGTTTTGGTTTTGCTTTTGGGTCACATCCAGCAATGCTCAGGGGTTATTCCTGGCTCTCCACTCAGGAATTAATCATGGTGGTACTCGGGGAACCATATGAGATGCCCAGGATCCAACCCAGGTTGGCTGCGTGCAAGGCAAATGCCCTACCTACTGTACTATTACTCTAGCTCTCTCGCGTGTTTTTTCACTTATTTATTGGAATTTGTAAACTAAAAAATAAAGACTAACAGTGAGTGCCCACCTTGCCATATATATTTTACCTATATCTAAAAATCAGGGTTTTTAGGGGGGCATGAGGGTTCATCTGGCCATGCTCAGGGACTATTCCTACTCTGTGCTCAGGGATCATTCTTGGCATTTCTTGAAGGGACCATATTTGATGTCAGGGACTGAACCAGGATTGGTTGCATATAGACAAGGGCCTCACTATACTATCTCTCCACCTCCCAGAATCTGTTTTTTTATTTGTTTGTTTTTGGTTTTGGATCACACCTGATAGGACCTGTGCTCAGGGATCACTCCTCATAGGACCATATGAAATGCCAAGGATTGTATGGAATGCCATATGGAATGCTGGGGTTCCATATGGAATGCCTGGGTCCGCCACATTCAAGGCAAGCATATTCTTCGCTGTGGTATCTTTTCTGCCCCCCAAATTTTTTAAATAGAAGACTTAATTTTTCAAGAGTTGGACTTGACCATGGCTTTCAGAGAGAGAAAAAGGAGTCTGATAATATTTGTGTCTATAGGAGTGGGATCTTTTGTTTTTGTTTTTGTTTTTGTTTTTTTTGCTTTTGGGGTCACACCCAGTGATGCACAGGGGTTACTCCTGGCTCTGCACTCAGGAATTACTCCTCGCGGTGCTCAGGGGACCATATGGGATGCTGGAGATTGAACCAGGGTTGGCCGCATGCAAGGCAAACGCCCTCCCTGCTGTGCTATTGCTCCAGACCCAGGAGTGGGATATTTCTAAACCTGACTTATACAATAGCCAGTTCTCCCTTACCCTCTGGGTGACCTCGGGAAGGAAGATGTGAGCTGATTTCTTCTTTTGAGTACATGATAATCATTTTAAAGCGCTATCATTGGGGTTTTTTGGGGGGGTGGGGGAGCGGGGTCTCCTTTTACTGATTTTGAGAGAATTCTGGTCTCACTTCAGAATTCAAAGAATCATCCCATGTTTTCTTCCTTCTTGATAATTTAGTGCTGAATAGTTTACTGCTGGGTGTGTCATGTGGTGATGACATGTATTCGTTCCAGTGGGGAGCTGAGCATGGGAGCATGGAAGACCTTGTGACTGCTGTGGAACCTGAAGGGTTTTTTCCCCTACATAAACAGGATCAAAGCTTCTTTGTATGGTCAATGGTGATTTAACAATAGAGTGACTATTCGTGGACAAAATACTGCAGGAGTAAAATATTTTACTTTTTATGTTTGATTTTAGAGTTGACCCATAGTTCATTTTATTTTTTTCATGCTTAATACCCTAATGAGACCTCAGAAATTCCCAGATTTTTGTGGGAGAGGCAAGAACCTGGATTCCGTGCCGTTTGCAGAGGGAGAGATGACATTCATTCTTTTTATCTAGGGCAGGGGAGCAGTGGGGGGTGCTCTGTGCTCAGGACTCACTCCTGGCTGTGTGTGGGGTACTATGTGCAGTACAAAGGATCAAACCTGGGTTGCCTGCATCAAGACAAGTATTTTATTAAATGTTGACACAGGGCTGGGTAATGGAAATGACAATTTACTGATATCTAACTTATTCACAAAAATGAAGAACAGCTTAAAATAAGAAAGACATTTCTAGAAAGCTAAAAAAATATATGCTCAATCTGAAATTTAGAATACACCATGCTCCAACTAGTAAATCACTCTGGTAAATTTTTTATTCATATTACTTAAAACTTGTTTGCAAACAGTGCTAGGTATCATTATTTCCTTTTTTTTTTTGGTTATTGTTTGGCTTTTTGGGTCACACCCAGTGATTTTGGGGGGTTATTCCTGGCTCTGCACTTAGGAATCACTTCTGGCCGTGCTTGGGGGACAATATGAGATGCGCGGTATAGAGAGTCCTGGTCAGCCATGTGCAAGGCAAGCACCTACCTGCTGTGCTGCTGCTCCGGACCCTAGATATCATTGTTCCTGTGATTTCAATTATAAACTTTCTTTTGGGTAATAGATGCTTCATGGTAAAAAGTTCAGGATTATTATATGGAACCCTCCTGAGTGAAGGCCAGATATTCAATTATGTATTTATTTATGCCACAAAGAATGAAACCTTTTTATTTCAGTGAAATAAGAGTATATAGTAGTTCAGTCATGTACTCTTTCCTGGATCCTAATTAGCACAGTGCTTACAGATACATGGGCAAGTCAGGGAAGAGGGTCACAAAATGGGCTGGAAAATTGGAGTGGTCTTTGCTATGTGAGCTGCACTGTCCTGTCCTCCCGTTGTTCGTCGGTTTGCTCAAGCGGGCACCAGTAACATCTCCATTGTGAGACTTGTTACTGTTTTTGGCATATTGAATTCGCCACGGGCAGCGTGCCAGGCTCTGCTGTGTGGGCGGGATACTCTCGGTAGCTTACCAGGCTCTCCGAGAGGAATGGAAGACTCGAACCCGGCTGGCCGCGTACAAGGCAAACGCCCTACCTGCTGTGCTATCACTCTGGCCCTGCTAGCTCACTTAACTCCAGACATGTGAGCTAGCAAGACTAATGTTTGGGGATCCTTCTGAAACATAACAGGAAAATCGTGTTGCTTAGATAGATAGTTAAAATGTTTTTCCTAAACAGCGAAGCCCTTCGTTTGTGAATAAAGTATTATGCACTACATTATATTGCAGATACAATCAGGGCTTCCTTTTTTTCCTCTGAGTTGGAAGGGGGCTGTTTCAATGAGTGGGAAAGTCTACCCTGCTTTCCCAGCCACGCTTTTCTTTAGAATCTCTGGAACACAACTTGAAAAGCATTGATTTTTGTCTGATATTTCTCCAGTTTAAAGTGATAGTACCTAGAGATCTTGGTGAATGGCAGTTCAGATTAATAGACATAGGTAGGTCCTGCAGATCCACGTGCTTAAGAAGTTTCTGATTAATATTGATGGTACTGATTCAGATCATACTTGACAAATTGTTCTTGAATAGCAAAGAGCTAGAATTTAGTTAGTGTGCAGTTGTGTAACCTGGGACTTTTGTAGTCTTTTAGAGGTGTGTTCACATTTATCTGAACCCTACCATGATACTCTGCATCCCCAGAGTCAGGTCAAAGATTTTTTTAGCCTTAGTGGTTGTGGGGCCCTCGCTGGCAGTGTTTAGGGATCACTTCTGACAGGACTGGAGGACCATATGTGGTACTGGGGATTTGAACAGGTATCAGCTACATGTAAGGCAAGTGCCTTAACCCTTGTATTACCTTTTTGTGCCATCCCCCCCCCCCCTTTTTTTTTTGCTGGACACACCTGGCAGTGCTCAGAGATGACTGCAAGCTTGCTGCTGGGAGGGGTGGCTCCCAGCACTGATTAAGGAACCCTGTGGTGCTAGAGGTACTTGGCATGCACTTAGCCCTTTGAACTATTTTTCTGGTCACCTAGGAGGTCTTTCTAGATAGTTTGGTAATAATTCCCTTTGCACAGTGGCTGAAGCTGCTTGTGGCCCTGGGCAAAGGGAAATGAAATGTTTCACTTCTGAATTTGTTCTTGGACTTCATGATTACTGTTCTTCACCATAAAGCTTTCATTAGCCCCTTGCCAAATGTCAGCCTGTTAGCTTTCCTTAGCTCTGTGTGGTCTTGGCTTTGTTTAAGATCCATTGTATTTAGTGATGCTTAATCTCTTTCCTCAGGGATGAACTGAGTAAGGATTCTGTCTTCACGAGGAGATCCCAGTGCTCTCGAGGTCTTGACCGGTACATTTCCAGGGAAGAGGGGCCTCTCAGTCCCTTCTTGGGACACCTGGATGAGGACTACCGCAAACGAGACACTTACTTGCATCGTTCTGATTATAGTCCCCATATCAACAGTAGTGACGAGCTGTTGCATGGAACAGAACGGGGTAGAGACAAACTGAAAAGTTGCTACTCCACAAGAGCTGAGGAAAGGAGCCGAGAGTCCAAACGGCCCCGTTACGATGACACAGAGAAGATACACAGCATGGGAGATGATCACTCAAGTTTTTCATCAGGAACACGAAACTATAGACATCGTCGGCGAAGCCCTAGTCCTAGGTTTCTAGACCCTGAGTTTCGAGAACTGGACCTTGCACGGCGAAAACGAGAGGAAGAAGAACGAAGTAGGAACTTAAGTCAGGATCTGGTGGGAGTTGATGATGGTGGCTCTAGCTGTCCCATTCCTGGATTGACAGGTGTCCCACCATCATTGGAGTCAGGATATTCTTTACATCGGCCTGAGGAGCTATCTGTGATGCCCAAGAAGTCCATCCTTAAGAAGCGAATTGAGGTGGATACAGAGCCTTCCATGCAGGTCTCTTTCTTGTATTTCTTCAGGATCTCTTACTAGTTCCTATAGTATCTTAAAGCCTGCCTACTGTTCTATGTGTTGTGTTCCTAATGGTCTCCTTGTAATAATTGAACCAACATTGTTCTATCTGTGAGCTGTACCTTCCTTTCAGGATTCTCTGGAACAATCCATAGACTTCCTAACATTTCAGTAGAGATTTCTATTGTCCATATACTTGCCATTTCTAAATGATATTTTGAAAAGTCTCGCCCGCACGGCAAAGCCTGGCAAGCTACCCGTGACGTATTCGATATGCCAAACACAGTAACAACAAGTCTCACAATGGAGACGTTACTGGGCCCGCTCAAGAAAATCGATGAACAACGGGAGGACAATGACAGATTTTGTAAAGTTTCTGTTGTAAGTTTTTCTCTAAACCAAATAGCCTTGTAGGGCTTAGACTATGGGTTACTTGGAGATGAAACTTAGAAGGGTAAAACATGAATTCAATTTTTCACCTCTTCTTACAAAATGCACTAAACCAGAAGTCTCATGGTTTCAATTTTTGTTTATTTGGGTGTTTTTTTTTTTGCTTTTTGGGTCACACCTGGCAGTGCTGAGGGGTTACTCCTGGCTGTGCACTCAGGAATTACTCCTAGTGGTGCTCCGGGGACCATATGGAACGCTAGGACATGGATTGAACTGGAGTTGGTTGTGTGCAAGGCAAATGCCATACCTGCTGTGCCATTGTTCTGGCCCCCATAGTTTTGACTTTGGACCCCTCTCTGTCACCAGTTTCCTGTATAAAGTTTAGGCATTCTGAGTCTTGATTTCTTTTTCTTTTTTTTTTTTATACCCTACTGAGAAGATAATGATCAGACAAGAGCTTTGGTTCTTATTTATTCATTAATTTATTTATTTGCTTTTTGGTTCATACCCAGCGATGCTCAGAGGTTACTCCTAGCTCTGTACTCAGGAATTACTCCTGGCAGTGCTCAGGGGACCATATGGGATGCCGGGGACTGAACCCCAGTCAGCCAAGTCCTAAGCAAATGTCCTCCCCACTGTACTATCACTCTGGCCTGAGTTTTTAATATTGTCTATAGGACATTTGAAGAAAGGGGAGCCAGGGGGCACTTATTGGTGTTTCAGTATTTCCTGTCCAGCTAAAGCATCTCTACTTTATTTTTCCTTTGGGGCCTTTGAATTCTTTTTCCTGTGTAAGGACTAACACAAATGGGCAAAGGTTAAGATTTGATCAAATCTGCTTTTTTTTTGTTTGTTTGTTTTTTTGTTTTTTGGGTCACCCCCAGCGATGCTGCTCAGGTGTTACTCCTGGCTCTGCACTCAGGAATTACTCCTGGCAGTGCTTGGGGAACCATATGGGATGCTGGGAATCGAACCCGGGTCAGCCGCGTGCGAGGCAAACGCCCTACCCGCTGTGCTATTGCTCCAGCCCCTCAAATCTGCTTTTACTTCACGTTTCCCTTTGCATAATAGAACATGTTATAAGATGGAGACCTACATCTTTTTGTTATATATTTTTAATAATTTCTAATAATTTTTGAGGTACACCCTGCAGTGCTCAGGTCTTACTCCTGATTATTTGTTCAGGGTTCACTGCTATCAGTTCTCAGGGGACCATATGCAACGCTGGGGACTGAACCAGGGTTGTGGCTGGAGGTAGTGCCGTACTATCTCTCTAGCCCAAGCCTAAGTCTTGAACCAGACTGAGAATACATCACATCCCTTTCATTAATACCTATTATACTTATTATTACTAATACTTATTATAATAGAATAAAGAACTCAAGCATTTATCTCAGTGGTTTTCTGGGACTACACAGTGGTTAAATCATTTGTATCTCTTTGCAGCTTGAGAACTTTCCCTGCAGTACCAGTTGCAGCCAGGATCTCTCTCTCTACACTGCACGTCCATCTCTTCCACTAAGTGGCGCTATTGCTTCTTTTGCCTCAGATACTGAAACTAACCAGGGCACTGTGGTAGACGCTGGCCTGAAGGACCCTCAGAGCAACCTCTTTCAGTGGGGTCCCCTCCCTGGGCTACCCAAAGATAACAGTCCTGTCAGCGAGAAATTTGGGGATTTCCTGGGCCCGAAAGAGAAATTGGATGCGAAGGCTGAAGGACCCGAGCAGCACCCTGACTTCTTGCTTCCTCACGAGAGAGCCAGTCAGGATGGCAGCGGCTTCTCTCGCATTCTGAGTCTGTTGGCAGATTCCACCAGCTCCCAGGAAAAAAGACGACGTAGCTTCCCTGACATTGAAGACGAGGAGAAATTTCTCTATGGGGATGAAGAAGAGGACTTAAAGCCAGAGTCGCCACCCAAGCCCCTTGGAGGCTCTGAGAGCGAAGTTCTGAGGCAGAAGGCGGCAAGCTGTGTGCCCTCCTCCTCAGCGCCGCCTGTTAAGCGAGAATCGGTAGAAGAGATCAACCCAGAATATGCCAAGATCCATGACTTGCTCAAGACCATAGGCTTGGACATCGGGGTGGCGGAGATCAGTAAGCTGGCTGTGCGCACCCAGGAGCGACTTCACGGCAAGAAGCCAGCACGTGCTCCGGCGGACCGTCGCTCCTCTGGTGACCGGCACTTTCCAGCAGCAGATCGCTGTTCTTCCGCTGACCGCCGTTTTTCAGCCGATCGGCGTGCTGCGGATCCTCACAGACTGGAGAATAGGGAAGAACACAGTAGTAATGCCCACCCCCGGGAAGTGTCCTGTCCACATCCCGTCTCCCCTGTGGATCCTTACCTGCTCACAAAAAATGCTGCTCCGTTTCTGAAGTCTGACTGTGCAGCAGGTCATCTTGCAGGACCAGAGGTGGTTGGCAGTGGATTTCAGTCTTCTGCTTCTTCGGTTAGGTGTTTGTTGCCGTCAGCGTTATCCGCTCCCGTTAGACTTACACACCCTGCTTCTCTGTCGCAGTTTCACATGCCAAGGGCTTCTCAGTTTGCTCCCACTCGGTTGCCTCCGAACTACCAGGGACCTGCCGTTGCCCCTGCCTCCTTCGATGCCTACAGGCACTACATGGCATATGCAGCCTCAAGGTGGTCCCTGTACCCCACCTCGCAACAGTCAAACCACTCTCTAACTGACCCACACAGGGTGATGCCAGTTAGCAAACAGACAACTCGTAGTCGACCCAATCTTCGTGTGATCCCCACTGTGACTCCTGACAAACCCAAGCAGGAGACATCACTGCTAGGCCCAATTCCTGTTGCCCAGGTGGCTATCCCATCTCTCATGAGGTACAACCCAGAGAAGATCTCTGACGAGAAGAACCGCGCTTCGCAGAAACAGAAGGTTAGCTTTGGGCATTCGGTCCTTTTTCACGGCTTTTATCTTTATCTTTTTTTCCCCCCAGTCTCTTTTATTTATTTATTTACTTACTTACTTTTTTGCTTTTTTGGGTCACACCCGGCCATGCAGAGGGGTTACTCCTGGCTCATACACTTAGGAATTACTCCTGATGGTGCTCGGGGACCGTATGGGATGCTGGGAATTGAACCCGGATCAGCTGCGTGCAAGGCAAACCCACTGTGCTATCACTCCACCCTATCTCTATTTTAACATAAATTAATTTACAATTTATTTTAAATTGGTAGGGTTAAACTACCCCTAGGGCTGTAACCCCCCCTTCCCCTCATCTTGGGGCCACACCCGTAGTGCTCAGGGGTTTCTCCCACGTTTGTGCTCGGGGTCACTAGTGGCTGTGCTTGGGACATACCATGCAGTGGGTCATCATCTCCCACCTGGGCCTCCCAACCATCAAATACACTCACTCTCAGCCCATCGAACTCTGATTTCTTCCTCCCTACCCCACCTCTGGTGTTGCTAGGGATCCCTCCTGGCAGAGCTTGGGAGGACATACGTGGTGCTGAGATCATCCGTATGCAAGGCAAATACCTTTACACCTGTTCTGTCTTGCCAGCCCCCCAGCTAGATTTTTGAGGATCACTCCCAGTGGCATTCAGAGGACACATGAGTGTTGAGAAATTAAGCCAGGTGCCTCCTGCATGCAAGCCAGCGCTCTAGCCCTTTGAGCCATCCTCCTAGCCCTGATGTTAATATTAAAAGTTCTTAATGACTGATAATTCATTGTTGTAAAAAAAAGATGCATAAATAAATATCCTTCCTCAATAATGCTTGATAAATAATAATTTCTTCCTTATTCTAATCCCTTTATCCTTCCTCAGCTGTAGTACAGTGAGTAGGGCATTTGCCTTGCAGGCGGCCAACCCAGGTTTGATCCCTAGCTCCCATATGGTTCCCCTGAGCACCACCAGGAGTAATCCCTGAGCATTGCCAAGTGTGACCCCTCAAAAAAGGGGGGGAAGACCGTAGGACTCACTGCTTTTTACTTTGCAGGTTATTGAAGAGAGAGAAAAGCTGAAGAGTGATCGGGAAGCTCGCCAGAAGAAGATGTATTACCTTAGAACTGAGTTAGAGAGGCTTCAAAAACAGCAAGGTATCCGGTATTCCTTTGCATGACTACTTTGCTTTCTTATTTTTGATTTGATTCAGGGGACCATGTGGTGCTGGGGATTAAACCTGAGTCTCCTGCAAGCATAGCATGTGCTCCAGCCTTTTGAGCTTTCTCTCGGGCCCAACAACTGCTTTTTACGGTAAACTGAGTATCAGGGAAAAGCACATCTTCTCGGGTTTGGTGGGAGGGACTACCCTGGAAAATTTTAGTGTTTCGTTTGTGAATTCTCCTATTTGTGACTTGAAATTTCCCTTAAAAACATTTTTAGGGGCTGGAGAGATAGCACAGTGGGTAGGGCATTTGCCTTGCACGCGGCCGACCCAGGTTCAATTCCCAGCATCCCTGAGTGCAGAGTCAGGAGTAACCGCTGTGCATCACCGTGTGTAACCCAAAAAAGCAAAAAAAAAAAAAAATTTTAGAGCCAAAGAGATAATACAGTGAGTAAGATACTTGCCTTGCACACAACAGACCCACTTTGATCCTCAGCACCACATATGGCAGCCCATTCCCTGCCAGGAGTGACCCCTGAGCACAACCATGAATTAAAAAAATTTTTTTGACATAATTTATTCACAGAAGAATTCCACTAATAATAAAAGGAATTCTCAGGTATATTTGATAATGACACATTTTACAATAGACAGTTCTTGGCACATGATGGTCTAACTTAGTATTTTGGTTTTACAATACTATGAAACTCATGTGTGCTCAGTAGATACCATACTTTGAATTTTGACCTATTTTTGGAGTAGGGATGTGTGGTACAGTATTCTTGTGATGTATTGCTTTGGCCGCAAATTGTAACTTTCAGCCAAGTGATGAACAGCAATAACAGTTAATATGCTAAAGATTGTTCTTCAGGGGCCAGAGCGATAGTATAGAGGCTAGGGTGCTTGCCTTGATGTGACCACGCTGGTTTCAATCCCTGGCACCCCATATTGTCCCCCAAGCCCTGCCAGGAGTGAGTGTCTCTGAACACAGAGCCAGGAATAAGCCCTGAGCCACTGGTATGGCCCAAAACCCCACTTCCACCTCCCCATCCCCCCCTTTGAGATCGCTAGCCAAGCAATAATGTTTAGTAGTGATTAGATGTATTTTGTTGATGGATATTCCTAGCATGGTACACAGGGAGCCAGTGATCTTTGCATGCAGATCATGGACTCCAGCTCTTTGGCTCCTTGATAAGAGTTTTTACTTAAAACACTTTTTTATGTTTGGTGGGTTTATAGGGATAAAAACCCATTATGTCAGAAGTTGTGTGATTAGCTCTATCCTTTCTCCCCCTCTCCAATTGATAGCGTGTGTGTGTACGTGTGTGTGTGTGTGTGGAATTTCTCCTGAGTTCTTTAAGAGTAAGTTACAGATGTGATGCTTCTAAAGTTTAATTTGTATTTTTTTTAAATGTAGGAGTTCTGCTAATTCAGCCACTGATTACGCTGATTGAATTGGGCATGAGCTCCACCTACTCTTTTTTTTCATTTTTAATAATTTTATTTATTGAATCATTGTGAGAGCAGTTACAGAGCTTTCGGGTTTAAATCTTGGTCATACAATGAAGCACCTGTACCTTCACCAGTGCCCATTTTCCACCCCCAAAAACCCCAGTACACCCCCATCCCCACCCTCCCCCTACCTGTGGGGCAGGTGATTTCCATATTACTCTCTCTCTACTTTGATTACATTCAATATTTTGACACCTGACCCACATTATTATTTGGGATTTTACCCCAACACTCGGAGCTGCCAAAAAGGCAACAGTAGACAGATCACAGATCATCCTGTTATTCGTCGATTGCCTCGAGCAGGCCCCAGTAACGTCTCCTTCATCCTAGCCCTGAGATTATATTCAAGGCTCTTTAGGAGAATGAGACCCAACAGTAGACAATTTGTTTTCTATTGCTGATTATGAATAACATATGATGTTGCGCGGCTGCAGTAGTGGCCACGCGGTTTTGAAATTCCGAAATTTTAACAATTAAATCTGGAGGGATTTCTGCCAAAACATGCTGGGTTCCGAGATTTGTTCCTGAGTCTCTGGGATCATGGCCATTTAGCAGCTTGATTAGGAGTCTGAGAGGCCGTCTGTGGGCGGCCACTCCGGGGCTTGGCTCCACCCCCATCCGGTTAAGCCCTGCTTAAGTGCCGGCTCTACCCCCATCCCGGTAAACCCTGCGTGTCTCGTCACTGCAGGCCCAAATCTGACTGTCTAGTGGCCTCTGGAGGATGGCGGCCACCGAGCCACCAGGGGACAGCACCCTTTTCCCCCTGGGGTGGCCTGGCGACAGTCACCTACTGCGGGGTCCGGACACATCTCTGCCAAAAGCCACTGGGTTTCGAGATTTGTTTCTGAGTCTCTGGGATCATGACCGTTAAGCAGCTTGATCAGGAGCCAGAGAGGCTGTCCTTGTTGGGTTGAGGAGGAAAGGTCCGGCTCCACCCCCATCCCATGAGGCCCCGCGTGTCTCGTCATTGTGGGCCCACACCTGACTGCCTAGTTTGTATCTTTAACAAAGAATTCCATTTAACTTCAGTACATTTGTCAAAATGAGTGAACTGACCATAGGGGGATAAACAGTGATTATTGGTCCTAGCTTCTTTCTGTGGGTCACGACTCCATATGGGGTTATGCAGCCGAGTGTGTGGGCCATGAAAACATTGGTGGGTTTCTGAATGTGCATTGACCAAAACAATTTCTGTATTTTTGGGATTGGGGGTGTGCACACTGGCTGGGCTGAGGCCATTCTCCTGGCTCTCTGCTCAGCGATCACTCTTGGCAGAGTCTGGGGGACCATATGGGGGGCTGGGTATCGAATCTGGGTTACCCACTGGCAAGGTGGCAAACTTCTTACTAGCTTTTCTCTCTCTCTGATCCCTGTAGATTAGTTGTCTAATCATTGGTTTGTCTTTCTTCTGGGTTTCTGGAGTGTTCAGGAGCTGTTCTTGGCTCTCAGTTCAGGAATGACACCTGGCAGTGTTAAAGGGACCATATGTGGTTCTGAGGATTTGTATGTTAATTTGTTTGTTTCAGGGCCTCACCTGATATGAAACTGGGTGGGTGGGTGGGTGAGTGGGGAGGTATCTTCACTCAGGAATTACTCCTAACAGGGCTAGGGAGACCACATGGAATCCAGGCAAGGCAAGTGCCTTGCACACTGTATTATGTGTCTGTGGTCCCATAAAATAGTATTATTCAAAGAAATTTACTAAGAGAAATATGGTAGGAGGAGAGAGAGAGGAGAGAGATCCATGTTCAGGATAGAAAACGGGCTTATCTAGGGTGGGGAAAGCGGGTGCTATGGATTTTTGCCAGCATTACGGCAGACCTCTGATTCAGGTGGCCCAAATCCCCTCCCAAAAATAATAAATACGTTCAGGTCATGTCTCTTTTGGGAGAGGGCTCTCAGCAATACTCAGCCAACTGACCTGATGATTCAGTGCTGGGGCCCGAGGATGCAGCTGCTCAGGAACCACCGGAACCATCGTGTGGTGCTGGGGTTCGAACTGGATTCTGGTAGGTTTGCATGTTTTCATGGCTGCTGAGCTGTCTCCTTGGCCCAGGTTATGTGTTTTCGGTAGAACATCACAAATGATTCCGCCTTGATGACAGGTGTTGATTTGTCAGCTTTAACGTTTGGTTACGATGGTATCTCCTGGATGACTCCTATGACATTACTGTTTTACCCTGTTGTGTTTGGATCACACCCGGTCGTGCTTTGGGAATGCTCCGGCTCAGTGTACAGGACTGGTTCTAGTGATGCCAGGAGATGGCTCTGTGGTGCAGAGGATCAAACCTGGGGCCCTGCTTGCAGAGAAGAAGCCCTTGGAACTCTCTCTCCAGCTTATTTTACTTCTTTATTTTACTTTTTAAAATAGGTACCCTGTAGGACTGGGGCCAGAGAGATAGTACAGTGGGTAGGGCTCTTGCTTTGCCTTGCACACAGCTGATCCAGATTAAATCCTTGTCACTCTAGTCCCTGACCCTGCCAGGAGCGATCCCTGGATATAGTCATGAGTGAGCCCTGAGCAGGACAAGGCCTGGCCCAAAATTTTTAAAAATGAAAAAAGAGAAAAGATCTCACAGCTCAATGAGTAAGGTGCTTTCCTTGCACGTGACCAACCCAGGTTTCATTCCTGGCACCACATATGGGCCCCTGAGCCCCTTTAGAAGTGATCCCTGAGCACAGAGCCAGGAGTAAGCCCTGAGCACTGCTGGTTGTGGCCTCAAAGCAAGCAAGCAATAAATAAATTCATAGGGGAATACAGCAAGACTATATATTCATTTACTCCTTAATTTTGTCTTTTAGTTTTAGCATTCATTGCTGAACCTTGTTTGAATTAATTACTATATCGTTATAATAGTGATTTACCAATTTTGTCATTTCTTGTGTTTATTTGGCTTTCTGTTATCAGGAGAAGTTTCTGGCCCTCTCTTCTGTCTATATTGATTTATACCTATGTTTTTTTGGTTAATAATTTACTATATCAACATTTTATTGTCTTTTTTTAATTTCTTTTAACTTTTTTTTTTCTTTTTGGGTCACACCTGGTGATGCTCAGGGGTTAAGTCCTGGCTCTGCACTCAGGAATTATTCCTGGCAGTTCTCGGGGGACCATATGGGATGCCGGGGATTGAATCCAGGTTGGCTGCATGCAAGACAAATGCCCTACCCACTGTACTATCACTCCAGCCCCTCGTGTTAGTTTTTACTGGTTTTCTGTTTAGCTAATTTGTGTGGGAGGGGTTCGACCACATATAGTAATACTCCAGTGTCTACTCCCTGCTCTGTGCTCAGGTCATGCCCAGTTTTGTTCAGGGGACCATGTGGTGTACCAGGCAAGTTCCTTAATTTCTGTAGTATCTGCCTGGCCCTTAAAGTAATCTTTTGGAAAAAAAAACTAAGCCATACCCAGTGCTAAGGTGGTAGGGAACTCTGGGGTCACTTTCTCCAGTGCACAGAAGACTGTGTGATACCAGGGATCAAACCTGGGCCTCCTGCATATACTCAGTGTTGAGCTAATTCTGACCCTTGATAAATTTTATTAAAAACACTGACTTACAAAGTTGTTCATTGTACAGTTGTTTCCAGCATTTACAGTTGTTCCAACACTACCAATGTGACCTTCTCTCACCATGGAGCCATTAAGTCCTTGTACAAGAGATTACTAAGATGTTGTTACAGGTTAGGCCTTCTGTTTTGTTTTGTTTTGTTTTGTTTTGTTTTGTTAATCAAGTTTGGTTGCCTTCTACATGATATCCCATCCAATCTGGCGTGCTACTCCTGGATTATCAGTGTTGTAGCTCCAGGAAGTCTGGAACTTTTAATGGGGTAATACAGGTGGAGTTAAATTTTTAACTGGGTGGTGGCTTTGGGGGTGTGGGTCACTGCTGGGGCTTCCAGAATTACAGGGAGTTGGGGGAGGGTAGTCCATCTCGACTGGAGATTTCATTCACAAAGCCTGCATACCTGAGCTTTTCAGCAGATTAACTTCTGGGTTAAGGCTTGTCCCCAGAAAGTGGAGTCCAGCCCGGGGCATGGCAGCAACTTTGAGTGTGGGAGCAATGGGCTACCAAGGCCCTGTTTCCCTTAATTAATTTTTATCATTGCTATTTCCATGCTGATACTGTCCTATATTTGTCCAGTTGGAGCTCCTTTAAAGTTTGGTGTCCCCATATGTTGTGAATACTTTTTGGCAGGGGGAGGGGGGGAGCATTGAACTCAGGTCTCATGAATGCATGAAGTTTACCATAGTGTCACATCTTTTTTTTTTTTTTTTCCCCTCTGCTTTTAGGACCACACCTGGTGCTACGCAGGGCTTGCTCCTGGCTCTGCACTCAGGAATCCCGCTTGGAGATGCGAGGTTTCACTATATGAGATGCTGGGACTAGACTCAGATTGCTCTCATGCAAAACAAGCGCCCTCCCTACTGCACTGCAGCTCTGACCCCTGTAGTGTCGCATCTTTCAATGCAGTCTTTCATAGACGCTTTTAGGAATTTGCATATAAGGAAAAGCATTAACACGTTTTTATTAAAAGTGCTTTTCTGTTGGGGCTGGAAAGGTAGTCATTGGACAGGGCACTTGTCTTGCATGTGGCTAGTCTAGGTTTGATCCCAGGCATTCCTTATGGTCCCCTGAACACCATCAGGCGTGTTTCCTGAGTGCAGAGCCAGGAGTAACCCCTGAGAGTCACCAGATATGGCCCTCAAAAACAAAAAAACGAAAGTACTTTGTGTAAATGATAGCACAGAACAGAGGACGCATGAACATAGGATTTCTTCTGTGGGTTTGGACTATATAGGGATAATAAACCTGGGTATTAATCCTATGAGGATCAAGACACGAGGTACTATAAGTTGGAATTGGATATATAAATATTAGAAGAGTTTAAAAATGCCTGAAACTGGGCCAGAGTGATAGTACAGTGGGCAATTTGACAGTGCTTACCTTGCATGCAGCTGACCCTGGTTTATCCCCCAGCATCCCATATGGTCCCGAGTGAAGAGCCAAGAGTGATCCCCGAGGACTGCTGGGTATGGCCCCAAAGCAGAAAAAAAAAAAAACCTAAAACTAAAATTCGGGCAAGGGAGACAGCTCAAGGACCTGGGGTGTGTTCTCTGCATGCTGAAGCCCCAACTTGACTTCCTACCACTGCCAAGGATTAGTCCCCAGGCAGGAAGCCCGGGATAACCTTTGAACACTGCCAGTTGTGCTCCAAAAACAAAACAAAAGAAATCAAAAACAAAAAGGTCCTGAAACTTTGTGTACTCGTTGCAAATTGGTGAAGGGTCCTTCAGTCTGTTCATGGCAACATAGAAACTTCACCTAATCAGTCTCTGTGGAAGGAGCAGACTGACTAGCTCTAAGAAATTTCTTTGGGAAAAGATTTTCTGACCAAGTCTTAACTAACAAATAACTTGTCTTGCCTTTTCTCTTTTGGATTTTGGACTATACCAAATACGCAGTGCTCAGGGCTTTCTCCTGGCTTTACACTGGGGTTCACTCTTCTGGCAGGTTCAGGAGGTCATTTGCGGTGCTGGGGATCAGACCTGGGTCAGGCAAGTGCAAGGCAGGTACTTTGCCGGCTGTACTCTCTCCAGTCCCCAAAATGACTTACTTTACCTTCTTTTGTGTTTTTTTTCTGCTGCTATTTGATTACTCAGGGGAAATGCTGCGTAAGAAACGAAGGGAAAAGGATGGGCACAAAGACCCACTCCTGGTGGAGGTGAGTCGACTTCAGGATAACATTATGAAGGACCTTGCACAACTTCGACAAGAGTCAGAAGAGGCAGAAAAGAAGCAATCTGAACTTGACAAAGTGGCTCAGATCTTGGGAATTAACATTTTGGATAAATCAGAGAAGTCTTCAAGCGACAATAAAGTGCCTCCAGAGAAGTCTGGGAAAGCTGAAAGATCCAAGAGTCCAGAAAAAGTGTCCTCCACAAATTCCTCTTCCAATAGCAAGGTGACAGTTTAACAATTTCTTGCTTGGTTTTTTTTTAAAAAAACTGTTTGCAAGTATGAACTGGCTTTAGAATTTTAAGAATATATTTCTATTATATGTGTTTCCTCCCCTCTCTTCATTTTATTTATTTTTTGTGGAGCAAGGAATCCAACCAAAACTTTACATATGCAGAGCAAGTGCTCTGGACCGAGTTATATCCCTGGCAAAGGAAATCTGAGCCCCAATGAAGGGCATGAGCAACCCAAACAGAGTGCCAGAGGGATTTTAACAAGGGAGATTTTAGTGTTCCTTTTAGTTCTTTTCTTTTGAGGTGTCAGTAATTGAGCCCAGGGCATCTCACACCCAAAGTCAGTGCTTTTCGACTGAGTTATCTTTATCTCTGTTGTTGGGCTGACTGCACACATTCCTGACTATAGTGCTCACACAGCCTTCAATGGGTGCTTCCTGGGGTCACTCATCTTGGGTATTTATACACTGGACAGCAGTGCTCGCTGGGGTTGTGCTCCTTTTAGTTGCAGTGCTCACACGTGTGCTTACAGGGAGGTCACTCCAGTTAAGGCACAGAAATTGTGGTTGTTGTTCTCCCTGGGGGAAGGGGTCACTAGGGGGCCCACTTCATGACCATGAGGCTTACATATCCTTGCAGTTGCTGTGCTCACAGGCTGTTCCCCCACTTTGTGAGGGACTGTGATTTAATCAGAGCATCTCAGGCTGAGCCATGGATTTGAAATATTGGCCATACTTTACAAGGCAGGCCACAACCAGTGAAGCTCAGAGGTTACTCCTGCTCTTTGACCTTGTGGGATACTGGAATTGAGGGATTGAACCTACGTCAGCCATGAGCAAGGCAAGCACCCTATCTACCCTGCTCCGGCCCAGAGCTTGTAAACCTTTTTCGCCTGTGATCCCATTTCATTTCACAGCTGATGTTGGTCATTGTACATAGGGGCTGGAGCGATAGCACAGCGGTAGGGCGTTTGCCTTGCACGCAGCCAACATGGCCGACCCAAGTTCGATTCCTCTGCCCCTCTCGGAGAGCCCGGCAAGCTACCGAGAGTATTCGATATGCCAGACACAGTAACAACAAAGTCTCCAATGGAGACGTTACTGGGCCCGCTCGAGCAAATCGACGATCAACGGGAGGGCCTTTACCTTTTACCTTTTGCTATAAACTGAATGCAAAAATCTCACCATTCTGAGCTCTCTATGTTCTTGCTCTAGGATTGACTTTCTTGTGAGGGAGGAGGACTTGGGCCATACTGGCGGTACCGCGTTCTGGGACTACTACTACTGTATGCTCAGGAGTCACTTCCTATGCCAGGGATTGATTGAACCGGGCTGGGTGCTTATAAGGCAGCTTTAATCCTTAATCCTTGTACTATCTCTCCAGTTCTTCAGCATTTAGTTTTTAACTCACTCCACACTGACTTCTGATTTCTCATATGGATGGGGTGGGGAAGGAGTTTCATGTTTAACAGTAAAGTCTCCATTTTGCTAAAGCCAGTAACTTTGTTTTGATTTTCAAATCAGTATTTGAAACGGGAATTTACCATATCCTAAAAATGTTTTTCTCCCTTGTCTTTATCACACTTATTTCCTCTTGCTATGCTAGCTAATTTCTTTTCCTCCCTGTTATCTTGTACCTGATGTTTAAATATTGTTGTTCCTTAAGGTCAGTTATATCCCAGTTTTCCAGAATTTTACTTATTGCCTAGTTCCTTTAATTCAGTTCTAAAATGCTGTACTGACAACTCCCAGTTTTATATTTTAGTAAAAATGGTTACAGACCAGGGGGCCAGAGAGATAGTACAGTGGGTAGGGTGCTTACCTTAATGCAGTCAACCTGGGTTTGATCCCTCACATCCCCTATAGTCCCCCGAGCCTGCAGACCCAGGAGTAAGCCCTAAGTACTGCTGGGTGTGGCACCAAAACAAGCCAAAAAAACAGCTAATTCCAAGCCAGAGATATTACAAGGAGCCAAGCACTTCCCTTAGATGCAGTCAACTCAGATTCAGTCCATGGCACTGCATATAGTCGGTCCTCTGAGCACAGAGCCAGGAGTTGCTCCTGAGCAACCTCGGGTGTGATCTCAAAACCAGAAAGTGTAGGTTTTTTCCCCATTTATTTTTAATTGAGTCACAGGGATATACACATTTACAAAGTTGTTCATGATCGGATTTCAGTCATATAATGTTCCAACAACCAACCCTTCACCAGTGTACTTTGCCCACCACCAAAGGTCGCAGTTCAGGTGCCACTCCTGGTGGTGCTCGGGGGACTCTAGGCAGTTGTAGGATTCAAACTGTTATCATGGCCACAGTTGCACACAAGTCAGTTGCCTTAACCACTGTACTAGTTCTCTGGCCCAAACCTGAGCATCTACCGGACTATTCGCCGTGTGGAAATTTTTCATAAACATCTTAAAATCAGTACGCACTAACGATTATATTCAGCTCCGCTCTTTCATCCTTCCAGTGTTATTATTCATCTCCGTGAATGGGAGGGAGGATGGACAGGAAATGACTCAGTAGTAAAGTCCGTGCTTTATATGCAGGAGACCTGGCCCTGGGTTTGTGGTAGTTGTCTGTTTTTCTGGCTTTGGGCCATACCCGACAAGGCCAAGGCTTACTCCTGGCTCTGCATTCAGGAATCAGTCCTGGTGGACTTACCTGGTTGACTGCCAGGCAAACATCCTACCCACTATGCTGTTGCGACTGTTGCTCCGATTCTTAGTTTTGTGGTTTTTATCTCCGTTTCAGAAAAACACACACACACAATCCCACAATTTTATCCAACTATTTTTAATACCTTGTATATTATTCCACATATCCTTCTGTTCTTAATTCATTTAACAAATAATAATTGATCTCCGGGAAAGTTCCAGGCATTATTCTATATAAGGGAAGAAGAGCAGGGAACTGTATAGATATTTATTGTCATGAAATAGGAGGTCACAGAGAACAAACAAGTGCATGTTAAGTGTGATAAATGCTTTACAGAAACAAAAGAAAGCAGGATAAGGGATATGAATAGTTCAGAAAAGCCTTCAATGGGTTACTTCTGACATTCAGTGTTTAATATTTAAGTGCTTTATTCTTGGTGAGAGGGCATTTCAGCAGTGCTCAGGAGCACAGGGACTGCCCACCAGGGCCACTCTAGAATTGAATTCCTTTTACTTGCAAGACATGCACCCAACCCCTGGGCTGTCTCCCCAGCCCCTTACAGACCTTTTCATTTTTACATAGTAATGTATAATGTAAATGTCAAGGAGTAGAATTGTGCCAAAGGGTGTAAAGAATAAGGGCTGGAGCGATAGCACAGCGGCAGGGTGTTTGCCTTGCCCGCAGCCAGCCTGGCTGAGCCGGGTTCGATTCCTCTGCCCCTCTTGGAGAGCCCAGCAAGCTACCGAGAGTATCTTGCCTGCATGGCAGAGCCTGGCAAGCTCCCCGTGTCCTATTAGATATGCCAAACACAGTAACAACAAGTCTCAAAAATGGAGATGTTACTGGGCCGGCTCACAAATCGATGAACAACAGGAGGACAGTGCTACAGTGTTACCTTAAATAGACATTTCTGGATTATCTTTCAGAGAGATGGTGCCAGGGTCACTTAATGCTCTTGGCAGCTGTGTCTGAATTTACCCATCCCTTACCTGTTGGCTGGGATCCTTTTAGTGAATCTTTAATAGGCCTCTGCTTGAAAAGACAGTTCGCTTTTTCCATTCTCTTCTCTCTCTACCAACCAGTATTTGAGGTTCCCCGTTCCCTTTCTTGTCTTCTGAAGAATCTCATTCATACTTAACCTTTATTTACTTATTTTTCTTTTTGGGCCACACCCGGCGATGCTCAGGGGTTACTCCTGGTCTGCACTCAGTAATCACTCCGGCAGTGCTCGCTGAACATGTGGGATGCCAGGGATCGAACCCGGGTCTGCAGTGTGCAAGGCAAACACCCTCCCCACTGTTACCACTCCGGCCCCAACTTTACCTTTCTGTGATCCAAAATTATCTTTTTCCCCTTGTTTTGGAGCCACACCCAGTGGTGCTCAGGGCTTACTCCTAGCTCAGAGACAACTCAGAGATAACTCCTGGTGGGGTTAGGAGGACCGTATGGGGTACTGAGAATCAAATCCGGGTCAGCTATGTGGAAGACAAGCCCCCGGCTCACTATACTATATCTTTAGCCCCCAGAATTACCTTTTTTGTAGTGATTTACTGTAACTAAAATTTTCCTAAGTGTTTGTCCATTCAGCTTGCTGATAAATTAATTTACACTCAAGTATTTTAATGCTGATAATGTGTGGCATTGATATGTTTTATGAAGATTTGTGTGACCTCGAAGGTGTTAAATTTTTTTGTTTTGGGGCCACTCCCTTGGCAGTGCTCAGGGGACCATATAGGATGCCAGGGATTGAACATGGGTCAGCTGTGTGCAAGGCACACACTCTACCCAGTGTTTTGTTGCTCCGGCCTATTCATGGCTTTTAACTTAGGAATCACTCCTGAAAGGATGCTGGGGATCAGACATGGGTCTCCAAGGTTAACTGAGCACAAAGCAAGTAGCTTCCCCACCGTACTGTCTTTCTGCCCCCACCCCCCAAAGTTGTTAAATTCTGATGGCAGTATTTCAGCATTTCTTTGTGTGTATATGGAGTAGGGAGGGCGAATTGGGAAATCTCCGAAATCAGTGCTCAAGGGGTATTCCTGGCTCCTGGTTCTGGTGCCAAGGAACTGAACCGTGGTCAAGGGGGTTGCAAGGGAAGCATCTTAATCCATATACTATCTCTTGGTCCCTTCGATATTTCTGTTTAGGGTAGAAATTTCATGTGTATTTCTTTAAGTCTATCCCACAGAGATGCTTTATACTTCGCAGACGTGAACCCTGAACCTCAGTTTTTAATGCCAGGATGCATCTGTGATAAGTGAATTCACTACCTACCATTTAGTTAGGATTTTCTACATTTGCTTAAGTCAGTTAGCTTTTGTTTCCTCTAGTCGTCATTATGACTTTAAAGTTTAATGTAATTAGTTGCTTTGATAACATTCAGTATCAAACAACATACTAGAAAAAGCCTCATTTTTATCCTTATTCTCCATCTCTTCTTCCAAAGGCAGCAGATATTTTCATAATATTGAGTATTCTGGAAATATTTTAGGATGTATAAGTAGTTAATGTATTTCTCTCATGATTTACTTTCCATGATGAGATAGAGCTATGAAGTTTGATTAGTTCTGTTTGATCCTGGCAGATCAGTTTCCCCCAATTTGTGTAACTTAGGCAATGAAAATAAAGTCAAATACTCCTGTTTTCTTTTCTTTGGTTATGGGCCACGCCTACCTATGCTTACGGCTTGCTTCTGGTTCTGCACTCAGGGACCACTCAGGGTGGTACTTGGTGGACCATATGGGATGCCAGGGATTGAACCAAGGTTGACTGTGTGCAAGGCAAGTGCCCTGCCCACGGCACTCTCTCTCTGGCCCAATTTTTAGTGTTGATGTAGGCTTTTTGCTCTTACTGAGAGAACGCATCTCTAGACTGCTTTGAGTTCCTTGTAAGTGCAGGTTTTTCTCCTCTAGGAATCAAAGCTAAACAATGAAAATTCCCGTGCTAAAACCTCCAAGCGTTCTGCAAGCCCCCCGCTGGCTGCTAAGCAGTCTGACCAGCCTGTTGCTGCGTACGAGTATTATGATGCTGGCAGTCACTGGTGCAAAGACTGCAACACCATCTGTGGGACCATGTTTGACTTCTTCACTCATATGCACAACAAGAAGCACACACAGGTAGGTGTCCTGCCCTCTGGTATTTCCCCTTTCCCTCTGAAACTTCCTGTCTACATACGCATTACAAAGCTGGAAAAGGAAGCACTTCTGTGGGCAGGAGCCCCGGTCTGAAGAGCCAGGAGAGCCAGCCAAAGAGACACTATTGCCAGGGCTTCGCCCCGGGGCCTGCCTAAAACTAAACTCCACGGCAAGTGTAAGTGAGGCTTCTACCTCTTGATTCCTTGCGTACCTCAATTTTTGTTTTTATTTTATCCATTACTAGTACTTGCTCTAACACGTATTTACCTTTTTCGCAGGTGATTTCTGTTTAGACCATTGGCAGAATGGGCGGGGGTGGTTAACCGGGGCTTCTGGTCCCCCCTCTGATGTGGGAGAAAGAAAAGTAGGTCGTTGAGCTTTTAGTGCTGTTGTGTGAGCGCCTCTGCCTCTTGCAAATAGACACTGGATCCTTACAACAGACCTTGGGCTTCAAAGACCCACAGTGAGGCCAAGCAAGATGCTGTAAAGCGCACCGACAAGATTACTGTTCCTGCAAAAGGTAGGTCTGCTTCTCTTCATGGTTTTCTTAGTTTTATCTAAGGGAGAAAGTCCCTGAATTTAGGGGCTAGGAAATAGCATAGGATTATACATAACCATAAGCAGTCCTCGTAACAAAGCTGTAAGAATGTTTTCTGTATGCCAAATAGTACCCTAGGTTCTGAAGAAATAAAGAGATCTGGTGTTGGGGGGTGGAAGGGGGCAGCAGAAAGAGGAAAGGTCTCATATGCACAAAAGACCACACATGTCTCTACCCATATGGCCATACTTCTGAGCAATATTAAACATACTCATACCATCCTTGTCATTAGTTTATGTACCAACATAGTGCTTACTTAAAGTTCAGGTGAAAAGCAGCATAGATAACTGCCTTTTCAAATAAGAACTTAAAATATTTTTGAATTACTTTTATCGGGGAATAGGTTGAGAAGTGAAAACACTTGTCTTTAAACTCCTCAGTTTATTCCTTATATGAGTAGTCAGTACTGCTACATCACATGTAAGAGAGAGTTTCTTGACTGATTAATACCAACATGACAGGTCTTTATTCATACTTACTGTGACATATGGGAATATAGTTCTGAAATCTAAGATGCTTTAGTGCTGTTTGAAATGAGAGGAGTATCAGCGACTCAAATGAGCTCGGTACAGAGTGCTTTTGTAATTAACCAGTTAGTGTTCCCAAGAGATCGAAGGGTTACAGATTCTGACTTTAAGCTTTAGAGTGGGGATTCAACTAAATCCTTTTGACTCAAAAGTAGGTAAAGCTCTCTGTATCATTAACCGTTTTATTGCAAAGAAAGTGGGATTTTCTTTAATTGCTGTTGTCCTGGGTGGAAATGATTTATTTTCTTGACTTCTACTTCTCCCAGGCTCTGAGTTTCTGTTTCCCATCACTGGATATTACTGTCAGCTTTGTGAGGAATTTTTGGGGGATCCAATTTCTGGAGAGCAACATGTGAAGGGTCTTCAACACAATGAGAAGTATAAGGTTGGTCTTCGTAGTAGCCTGTGGTGTTTCCCACTTCCTGCAGTAATTATTTGCCTTCTTCAAATAAATTCAGACCCTGAAAAAGTGACAATTCAAAATCGTGTAAGCACTGGAAAGTTCCCAGTTTATCTCTATGTGGCATTATATTCTTGAGGCAGATGGCTCTAGGAATTTCTATAAATGAATGTAACAATAATGGAACCAATATTTTCTTTTTCATATATAGTTTCTTAACCAGTTTTTGAGCCTTTATTTTTTCTCTTGCAGAAGTACGTAGAAGAAAACCCATTGTATGAGGAGCGGCGAAATCTGGACCGCCAAGCTGGGCTAGCGGTGGTCCAGGAGACAGAAAGGCGACGTCAGAATGAGCTTAAACGCAAACTCAGTGAGAAATCAAAGGAGGAGAATAAAGAGAAAAAGGCAAAGATTGTGGAAGATGTAAACGAGGATGACAAGATCTCTGAGGAATTAGATGACCATTTCTCTGAGGGTAGGCAGTGTCCTGAAAAGACGGTCTGTAAAAGGAAGGCCAGCATCAAACTCCAGCTAAAAGAAGAAGTAAAGAGAGATTCTCCAGTCTCTTCCTCTTTTGGGAAATTCAGCTGGAAGAAGCCAGAAAAAGAGGAGGAAAAATGTACAGCCGTGGCTCCAAGTGTTCCCAAGGAAGAGACTGTGGAAAGCGGGAGGGACAAAGAAGACAGCAGAGCTGAAACTGGGAAGGCAAAACCCATTAAAATCCGGCTCTCTGGGAAGACTGTCGTGGCACAGACTAGCCCTTGGACACCTGTTGTGACAACTTCAACCCAGACTAAGATTCGGCCCAATCTGCCTATTCCATCCACAGTGCTCCGCAAGTCAGGTTCAGCTACAGTGAGCAAACCAGCTCCTCTCAACACCTTCCTGTCGATCAAGTCCTCTGGGACCACGGCTAAGCCTCTGCCGGTCGTTAAAGAGTCATCAGCGGAACTTCTTTTACCTCCTGACATCATCTCCAAAGCATTCGGCGGGGAAGAGGTGGTTCTAAAAGGACCTCCAGAGGAAAAAATGGCAACAGCTGAAAAGAAAGAGCCACCCCATATGCCAGAGCAAATGCTGCCTCCCCCGCCACCTCCTCCTCCGCCTCCTCCTCCGCCTCCCCCAGCCATACCTCAGCCAGCTGCTCCAACTTCTGCCCAAGTAAGTGCTGCCTTGACTTCGTTGAAGTCGAGCCCAGCTGTATCCCAGCCTCCCAGCCCTGACTTCCTGGGTCTTAACATTTTGAACCCAGTGTTGCCGGTAGCGATCATGGCCTCAGCACAGTCAGCTGGCATACCTTCTGATGAGACAGCTCCTGGGGTGAGTGAGAGCGATAGAGACCAGGCCGTGTTCTCGGTATTGGTTCGTCCCCCACCTCCCCTCTCAAGTGTGTTCAGTGAACAAGCCAAAAAATTGGAGAAGCGAAATTCCTGCCTAGCCACAGCCAATGCCAAGGATCTGTACGATATATTCTACAGCAGTGGTGGAAAGGGGGCAGCAGAGACGAAGCTGAGTAGTGGCTCATTAGCCAGTGAGGACAATAGCCCCTCCAAAGCCAGGAGCTCAGAAACTTCTGCCGCTTCTGTGTTGGATAGCTGTAAATCCCAAGAGAAGTTCGCTCCCCGTGGCAGTTCGGACTCTAATCCTTTAGTCAGCAACCCTGAAAAATCTGTTACGAAAACTCTGGTGTCCCTAGGGAAATGGTCCGTTGTAGAACATGGAGACTCAGAAAGCAGAGATAACAGATTCAGCTTCCTACAGCCTCTGACAAGGTTGTGCCAGAGCAGGTCTTATGAAACTATCGCTCCAACAACAGATCCTATGGCCGTTTGGACAGCTGGTTCTTTTGAGAGGGATGCTAAGAGGGCGGTATCTCCAGAGGGGAAAATTGAGTCTGACTTGGGAGAGCCAGGCCTGTCGGGAGTAGAACCAGCCCCTCAGCTGTTAGATGCTCATTCTCGCAGCACGGAGCCTCAGAAGTTGGTAGAAACCCACCTTCTGGAATCTGGTAGCCAGGATGAAGAAAGCCAAGAGCTCCACAGATCTAAAGATTGTAGAGAAAATGAGCGAGAGACAAACACTGAACTAAAAGAAAGAGGAAAAACACCCTCTGAGAGCGTAGTAGGGGAGGGAACAGATATTAAGAGTGGGTCCAGTAGCGTAGCCAACTCGAATTTAAACCATGGGAATAAACACTTGTGGGAGAGAGAATCACAACAACCCACACCACAAGAGACTGACAAAAACGCCGAGCAATCTAAGACACTGATGTCAGGAAGCAAAATTCAAAGTAGAGTAAGAGTTGAATTGACTGCACAGTCTCTCTCTTCCTCAAAGGTGCAAATAGACTCATTTCCATCAGAAACTAGATCTTTACTCCAGACTCCACAAGATAAAATTCTGAAAACTGCTTCCCCAGAATTGCTTCTTCAGTCCCCAGCCAGATCACCTGTGTGTTTCGTAGATCGTCTAAAGGAAAAAGAAGTTCCAGCTGGTAATCAAGAGTGGCCAGAAAATTCAGTTTCAGAATCAGCTGCCCCAACCTCTGGATATAAAAGCCTCAAACTCGAGCGAGAGAGATCAAAAGACTTTCAGGGTAAAATGACCTGTGAACTGCCTGTTTGGAATGAGAAGAAGCCAGGAATTTGGGAGAGTCCAGAGAAATCAGAAGCCGTGGGACTACGAGGTGTCCGTCCTGAATTAACAGTGACAGTTGAAGGCAAAGCCTTAGACTTTGAAGTTACAGACTTAAAAGTGAAAGAACTTGCAGCCCTGAGGAATCTGGGGGATATGGGCATTGATTGTTACAATACTCGAATAGAAAACACAACACATAGATCCCCGACTGCCCTGTCTCCGAAAGTGTGTGAAGAAAATTCTCTGTCATCTGTGGGACGCAATCCTAGCACTCTGACTGACTTTGAACCAGTCCCAGCCTTTTCTGAATCTCCCTTAGATTCTCCCAAAACCCTGGTGCTTAACTTTGGAACAGAAGTTGAACGAAACTCATCTAATCCCAGAAATGGGAGGATCACCCCTAACATTTTGAAAACTGGACTTCCTGTAGAAAATGTTGACCTTGGCTTAGGGAGCCTGGAGGGAACTCACCAGGCTCTTGACTTGTTAGCAGGAGGAATGATGCCCAAGGAAGTAGAAGGAACTTCTCAGTTAGAGAAATCGGATTCGTTCAGATTGAAAGCAGAAACATCTGCTGGCCTTGGACCATCTCCTTGCCTTCCAGATCTTGTTGACTTTGTCACACGAACATCTGTGGTTCAGAAAGAAAAGTTCTGCTCTCCCTCTGAGCCATGTGACCTTCCTGCGTGCAGTTCCCCAGAGAATGCATCTGTTAGAGAGGTAACAATGCCTCAAGTTGATGGGGACAGTGACAGCCATTTGAATATGGGAAAATCTCTGACTCCGACCTCTCCTACGAGAGAGCAGGTAGTGGGAGGCAGTACGATCCCTCATGAGATACCCGCTCGAGAAGCTACAGTTGATGCCATTGGGACGTGCAAAGAGTCCCGTGTTCAGAAATAATACACAGCCAGAAGAGCTTGTGGGGGAATCAGAGTAGCTTCTAGACTCAGGCACCCAGATGCTGCAGGGCACCTGGAACCTACTCGGCTTCTTACGTAAATGTTCATGGAAGCTAAAATCTCTTACCTCCTTTTCTTTGTTTTCTTTTCTTCCTTAAATACCGGACAAATCAATAATAACTACTTCTATACATATCTGTAAAAAATTTTTTCTGTTATTATTTTTTTTTTTTTTGCCAATTTACTTTCTCCTTTGTCATTAAAGTCAAATATCTATCTGGTTCACCATCTAGTGTGCTTTGATTGTATTTTGACTTTGACTCTGCCATTCTGGAATGGTGGGTGGGGGGAGGGGAGGGAAACATCTGGCTTTCCCAATTGCTGTGTTGTACTCCCACCCGATTTTGTGGGCAACTGATGGATATCTAGGAAAAAAACACCAAAAACCCTACTAACATGAAAAACTACTGATGAAGGAAGGATTGTTCATCTCTTGACTTCTATTTGGATGAGCCTACCTTAACGCTGTTCAAAGTACAGTGTGAGTAGCTCTTTCGTTTACCACTTTACTTCATTGTGGAACGTCAACCTGACTTCATTTTCTTTGCCTGAGACGGTCTTCTTTTCCACAAACGTGTTTGGAAATGGCCTCATAAACACAGAATAAAATTTAGCAGGTTCGCTTTGGAAGACAACGAATTGGTAGGACTTATGGCTCAGTTGCCAGGAGCATGTAGGCTCTTTAAGGTCACTTTTAATTTCAGAATGGCTTTTGTTACGACTCAGCAAGACTTTGTGTTAAATTGTTTAGTAGCCTGTTCTGTCGTAAAGAGGCAGAGATTTGAAACTTGGCTTGGGATCGAACTCATTCTGTGTCTTACCCCCTACGGATGTATTCCTTCCTCTACCTCTCCCCTTCCCACGTTTTTCTACCATAGTGTGCAAATATTTTGAGTTGTACATTTTGTTTAAAAGATTAAAGAATTTATGAGTTGACTTGGACAAGTTTAACTTTATTCTTCAATGTGTCGTTTACTTGGAATAAATGCATCAATCTCGCGTTTCATTCTGATTTTTGTTTTGAAGTGACACACATTGGAACTCCAGTAAAGCATAACAATGAGCCCTCACTTCCCTACTATCTGTTCCTCCCTGCAGCCATTCTTCCTTACCAGAACGAATTTCTTCATGTCAGATAGTTGGGTTGGTTGGTATTTGTGGGGAGAAGGGGTCACACTCAGAGCAGGCGCTACTCCCATTGGTGTTTGGTGGATCATGCAGTTGTAGGGATTGAATTTGAGGAAGCCAGATCCCTGGCATTCTCCTCCTCCTCCTCTTTCTTCTTCTTTTAGTTAAGCAAGATAGGTGAGTTTTGGGTGGGGTTTTTGTTTTTGTTTTTGGGCCACACCCAGCAGAAGCTTACTCCTGTCTCTGTGCTCGAGGGACTCTATGGGGTGCTGGAGTTCAAACCAAGCATGGAAAGCAAGCACCCTACCCACTGTGCTATTGCTCCAGCCCCAAAGGAAGATTGTTCTTATTGTTTTGTTTTGTTTTTTCTTTTTTTGGGTCACACCTGGCGATGCACAGGGGTTACTCCTGGCTCTGCACTCAGGAGTTACTCCTGGCGGTGCTCAGGGGACCATATGGGATGCTGGGAATCGAACCCGGGTCGGCCGCGTGCAAGGCAAACGCCCTACCCGCTGTGCTATCTCTCCAGCCCAAGATTGTTTTTATTGAACTAATCTTACTGAGAGGGAAAGACATGCATGATCAGGAGAGAACATGCGACTGAAAGAACAAGAAAGCAAGCGAAGATACATAGAAATAAATGAGCAAGCAAAGATGTGTTCAGGGGAGAACAGGGGCTTGAAGAGCAAGCCTCCCCGGCCTTAAGTTACATTACATAGACTGTGGGGATTATGTATCGTTGGGGTGCTGCCTTAATGGGTAGGAGGAGATAACAACAGTGGACTGGTATTGTAAAGTTGTCTTTTGTTTTTCAGGTTTTTTTGATTTTGGAGGGCAGGGTTGAGCGAGTAGTCACACCTGGTGGTGCTTGGATGTTCTGGCAGTGCCCAGGGAACCGTGAAGTGCTAGGGATTGAACCCAGGCCTTGTGAAAGGTTGGGGAGACCACCTCTTGGTGCCATGAGGTAGAACCTCCTTTTTTTTTTTGTTTCCCCTATCAGGGACACTCCTGGTAGGACTCAGGGACCATATGGGGTGTCGGGGATCAAACCTGGGTCAGCTGCTTGCGAGGTAAGCACCCTGCCTGCTGTACTCTCTTTGGTCCTGGTAGACCCAATTTTTAAGGTTTTGGGCCACATCCGGTGGTGGTCAGAAGCTACTCCTGGCTCTGTGCTTGGGGGTTGCTCCTGTCCACGCTGGGGGAGCCATACGGTGCCACAAATAAACCCAGGATGCCTCCATGCATGTCCTTAGCCCACTGAGACATTTGTTCAGTCACTGAATGTTTTTTTTCATAGGATGTAAGGTCCAGTATCCACACATCTGCATGTATTTTATGGTGTCGTCTACCTATTCTTTAAGAATCAGAAAACAGTCTTCACAGGACTCCTTCAGCTATGGAACAAATACTTAACAGGTTTAAATTTGGGCAAAAATCTAACTCTACCAAAATTGTGTAAATAATTCTTTAAAAACTCTTGATTTTGTGAAAGGAGATTCTTGATTCATAAACCATATTTCACCCGTTAATAGTTAGCTTCAGGCACTTAGTACAGTTCATTACTGTCTCCTAAGTATTCCTACTTTATTCCCATATCTGTCCCCATTTTGTTTTGGGAGCTTACTCCTGACTGCGCTCAGGGATTACTTCTGGTGGGGATCAGGGGGACCAAATGTGGTGCCAGGGATTAAACCCTTTTGGTCATGTGTGAAGCAACCACCCTATCTGGTTAACTATCCTCTGGCCCTCACTCCACATTTTGGTAGTAAAGCAATCCACAATCTGCATCCATCTACCAGGTTCAAAGATACAGTGAGTCAGAAATTATAATTCAGAGAGTGGTTATATAGGATACAGGTACCAAATAGATTTAAAGTCTGGGCAGATTCCCAGAGGAGACAGCTGATTAAAAAAGTGAGGTAGGGCTTTGGAAATACATACATTCCTAAATCTTGGTTCTCTTTAGGATAATAAAGCATACTAACCCTAGGATGATAGCCTAATGAAGGTCTTTATGTTTTGATAATTTTGTGAGAACATGAAAAAAATAGTTTGGGATTACAAATAATGTTTATCTCTAGCATATCATTTTATAATATTTACGTGATTTTTTTTGTTTGTTTTGTACACGCCCAGCTGTACTCAGGGCTTACTCTTGGCTCTGTGTTTAGGGATCCCTCCTGGCATGCTCAGGGAACCATAATAGGGTACCAAGGATTGAGCGCAGGCTGACCACATGCAAGGCAATTAGGTGCTTTAATTGTTATACCATCTCTTGGCCCCTTGTTTCTATATTTGTTTTGTTTTGGTGCCAAACCCAGAGTTGCTCAGGGCTTATTCCTGGCGGTGCTTGGGGAACCATATAGTATGCCTGGGATGAAACCTGGGTTGGCCACATGCAAGGCAAGGGCCACTGTACTATCTCTCCAGCCCTGTTTATATTTTTTAACTAAAATTTATATACGGGGGCTGGAGTGATAGCACAGAGGGTAGGGCATTTGCTTTGCACATGGCCCGACCCTGGTCCAATTCCCAGCATCCCATATGGTCCCCCGAGGATGGCCAGGAGTAATTCCTGAGTGCATGAACCAGGAATAACCCCTGTGCATCACCTGGTTTGACCCAAAGAATAAAAAAAAATAAAATTTATATACATTAACTATTCATTGATAAAACATGCAAACTTAAGATAAAAATCTACTAGCCTTTTCACCATCCTGATTCACTTTTAACATATTTTTCCTTTTTTCTTTTTTCACTGAATGACCGCGAGATAACAGTTACAAGCTTTCATGTTTGAGTTTCCGTCATACAATGTTCGAACACCCATCCTTCCACCAGTGCACATTTTCTACCACCACTGTCCCCAGTATCATCCCATCCATCCCTCCCCCTGCCTCTATGGCAGACAATTTCCCCCATACTCTCTCTACTTTTGGGCATTGTGGTTTGCAATACAGATACTGTGAGGCTATCACGTTTGGTCCCTTATCTACTTTCAGCACACATCTCTCATCCCAAACGATCTCTTCAGCCATCATTGTCTTCGTGATCCCGTCTCTATTCCAGCTGCCTTTTCCCCCAGCTCATGAGATGGGCTCCCAACCATGGAGCAATATTCCTGGCCCTTGTCTCTGTTGTCCTTGGGTGTCAGTCTCGTATTACTTAACACATTTTCAACAGACCATGTAAAAAGTATTATCGCATTTAATGTGATAGTAATTTTAACACTTTAAAATTAACACTTTATTTCTGTGTCTCCTTTTCTGACCAGACTAAATTACAAACTCGCTAAGGCAGAGGATTTGTCTTTGCCTATTTCATCATAGTATTCACAGCACATAGTTGCCTGGAATTAACAAAGAGTGTTTAATTAAAAGCTTCTTAGAAGAATCAACATGGCAGTTGATTCTATATGAACTGATTGCTAATCCATAGCAATTGATAAGTGGGTAGAGACGATAAATTGCCAATTGTTCTTGATTAGTGCTTAACAATCTACCAGCCAGCTGCCCTGTTGCTTCTGTTAACTGAATTTGTTATGTCTAAAGCACTGATACCAATGAATGTACATCAGGGCTCTCCATTCCAGTATTCTGGAATAGTGTACTGTACCAGACAAAGGGGGCCACATTGCACTTAGGACCTAGAAGAGCTGGATGGGGGAAAGGGTAAGCTGGCCTTGTGCTAGTAATGAAATCATTGTTAGCAATCACTGAATCACTGTCATCCCCTTGTTCATCGATTTACTCGAGTGGGCACCAGGAAAGTCTCCATTCGTCCCAGCCCTGAGATTTTAGCAGCCTCTCCTTACTTGTCCTTCCCAACAGTGCCATACTGGAGGCTCTTTCAGGGTCAGGGGAATGAGACCCGTTATTGTTACTGCTTTTGGCATATCGAATACGCCACAGGGAGCTTGCCAAGTTCTGCCATGCGGGTGGGATACTCTCAGTAGCTTGCTGGGCTCTCTGAGAGGCATATATATATTTCCCTCTATGGTTTGTTGCCTACTGTCTGAACCCCATCACATATGGTGTGGTAATTATGGTAAATGAGTAGGGAGTGTCTTAGGATGTGCGGCCGTGCGGTCCAGGATTATGTTCCACTCATGTGAGGCTCGGCCCGAGCATGTGGAAAGTGGCCTGGAGCATGGCAGCGGTTGGGTAGTGGAGGTTGGCTGCCAGGGTTGGGTCCCTTGGGATGGGGAGGGCTCTCACCCACCCCCCTCTGGGGCGACCCGAGTGAAAACAGCCTGGCGCAGAGTCTATCAGCAATAATAAGGTAAAGGTAAAGGCCCTCCCGTTGATCGTCGATTTGCTCGAGCGGGCCCAGTAACGTCTCCATTGGAGACTTTGTTGTTACTGTGTCTGGCATATCGAATACTCTCGGTAGCTTGCCGGGCTCTCCGAGAGGGGCGGAGGAATCGAACTCGGGTCGGCCATGTTGGCCACGTGTAAGGCGAACGCCCTACCC